GTGCGTGCACGGGTGTGTGTGCGTGCGTGCGTGCATGGGCGTGTGTGCGTGCGTGCGTGGGCGTGTGTGCGTGTGTGCGGGCGTGTGTGCGTGCGTGCGTGCGTGCATGGGCGTGTGTGCGTGCGTGCGTGGGCGTGTGTGCGTGTGTGCGGGCGTGTGTGCGTGCGTGCGTGCGTGCATGGGCGTGTGTGCGTGCGTGCGTGAATGTGTGCATACATGTCCTCCATCACTTCACCCAGCATTGTGAGCACTGCACATCCATCCCGCCATCTCGCGCAAACCACGGGGAGGACTATAGCTTCATCTAAATTTAATGCCGAGGATCTTCCCCCAATATATTAACATCCACGCCACGCCGCGCAATCATCAGTGCAATGTAACGGCTCTCCCCATTCGATTCTCTAGTTGCTATGCACCTGGCGTCATCGGTAACAGAACACTGACGCTGCCGACGTGGTAACACGAGGCGAATCTACTCACAAATGCACTGATGTTGACGCTCACTGGCTTACCTAGTGTAATGCCGTGACGAATTAACGGTTAATGAATCTCACGTTATTTTAATCGGCTAGGTTCGAATGACACCAACGTACGTGAAGGCTGCGTGATGTTCCGCGTACACGTAGAAAAACAAAGCTTTTATTATAATTGGAGATGAGTTTGGAATCAATACCGCGCCCACGTATACAGTCAGTGCACGTAGCATGTGCTATATGGCACCTGGTATGTATTTGGAAAAAATAAAGAACAGATACAGAAACCCAGCTATATATCACCACAGCACGTATACCATATACGTGCTGTGATGTCACTCTTGTGTGACATCTATGCTGTTATATTTATCTTGACATTCACTTAGTTTCAAATTTATGTACACGCAATTAATTTTAATTTTAATAACTAAATACCACGAATTTTAACTCTGAACAACCAAGCTGCACAATAATACGTTTTTATATACTTGATTAAGGAAAATGGTAAGATGGATGGATGCTTGAAGGATGGATTTCTAATACCAATACGTTTCAGTAAAACAGAGCTTGAATAATCATTATTACCTCCGCCAAGGGGTTGGCAGGAGGTTATATGTTTTCACCCGCGTGTGTTTGTTCGGCGACTCGCCGAGTGTTTGTTGGTTTGTGGGTTTGTTTGTGTACAGCCTAACTGAAAAAGTTATAGCCGGATTGTCATAACATTTCAGGATAG